TTTGTTGTGGATTTTCAAGCACTGCCGAAAGAATCAAAGTGAAGACTGGTTATACGTCTTTTCCCTCCACTTTCAAATATTGTTGTTTAAAAAATTCTTAACTTCACTGTTTTTCGGTGGTGAGCCTCTACTGTATTTTGTGGAATATATTTTGTTTAAGTGTAATACGTATATAATATATTTATATATCAACCAACGAAAATATTTTATCAATAAAATCTTCAACATAGTGATTGACGAATATACTCGTCATGCCTTGATTTTCACGACAAAAAACTGCGCGCGCTGTTCGATGAGCGCGGCCCAATTCACGTGATCTTTAAATCGATCCATTCAAAAAAAAAGTTTTTCTTTTCCGCTCAACTGAATTTTTAAATAATCAAAACATATTTTGCGATCGCCAAAATTTTTTTTTAATATTTGTAATTTGAAACTTACCTTTGAATGTTGCAGTACTTAAACTTGATCCTGAACTATGACTGGCAGCTCTGTTTCAGAAAATTTGAATATCCCGAATTGTATCATTGAGAAGTAAGCGTTTAATACATTTTCATAACTGTTAGCTAAATAGATTCTTAAAACTAGACGATTTTTTATATTTTTCTATAAAATTTCATTGGTTTGTTAATCTCATGTTCATCGGCTATTGAATTCTGTGGAACTGGTAATTTTATTGAATTTTGAAGTTTATTTTTTTTACATTTTTTTAGTTTATGGCAAATTTGTTTCGGAGCGTGCTAGGATCGGGCTAATATGTCAACGTGAAGTTTGTTTCGAGAATTGGCTTGGCTTTAATAAATCAATATATTTAAAATGAAAAAGATATATTTATTTTCTTATTGTTTGATAAATTCGTATTTTTATACATTTATAAAAATTGGCGAATAAAGAATTAAATGTGTATTTGAATGATATTAGGTTGTCAAATATCTCCCTTCCGCCTTTTTGTATTATAAACCAATAGCAAAAAAGCGGAAGGGAGATATTTGACAACCTAATACATAAGATATAACTGCAGTCGAATATGTAAAGGTGTGTCCTCAGCTAACGAATGAACATGACGAATAATAGGCTGGGTACGGTTGTGCCAGGGAACGATACTGATAGTCGTCATAACAGCTAAAGTTTACTGATTTTTAGATAGGGTTCGAAGGGAGAAAGATGGAGAGTAAAGAGTAAGGACAGTATTTTAGTATTTCCACGTAAATAAATGTTCAAATTACTGTACAATTTACTTTTCTTTCAGCTAATTGGTAAACTAACAAAACTTGTTGAAAGTGGCATTTAGCCTCAAGGCAAGTTGCATGTACTTTCCGAAATGTGCAAGAATTGACTTAATCAATCTAAATTGTATTTTAAGTATTTAGATGAAATTTTCAACTATTCATTTGAAAAATAAAGTTATCGCTTTCAATTAAATGTAAACATTGCGATTTCGAATAGAAATTCCTCAAACAAAAAATTAAATGTAATTATATTAATTATATTGCACAGACACGTGCTTGTATGCCCTAAAATTGTTGCTTATTATTTGAAATTGTAATGAATTGATAATGTTTGGCTCATCACAATACAAAAGCAACTTTTGATACAAATATTGACTATAATATTTTCTCAAACTTTGATGAATTTTTAACTTTAAACTATTTGTAGTAGGGCCGTAATATTTTAGTATGTTTTATAAACCCATGATATCTATTGCCAAAAAAAAAGTTCATAAAAATCTGCGAACAAATTTTTTCCAACATTTAATTTCAAGAAAACGGCATGTATCATTCCCAATATCTTTCGAAAAGTTTTTGATTTTTTGAAATCGACTCATAATTGAGAGCTAAAACGTGGATGAAAGTCTTTTCACTTTACTGCTATATACAAAGAAATAGCCGATCGTCGCACAAAACTGAGAAAAGATAATCCACATCGAAATACATCGATTGGCTTTCAAAATTCTAAAATCAGTTCAGACGTTTTCAAGCAAACGTCGAAAAAAGTTCTAATTTTAACAAACGCCAAAAAAACGATACAAATTTTTGCAAACTTTAACGAATTAAATTTAAAATTAAAATTAAACGACTTGTCGTTGGGCAGTAGTATTTTTCTATGGTCTATAATAAGACTATGTGATGGTATCTACCGTCAAAAAAATCATAAAAATCACCAAAAAAATTTTTTAACTCTTTTCATAACTCTAACACACACAGGGCCGCAAGCAATAAAATTAACTTAATCTTAACATTTATCATTAAAATTATATAAATATTCACATAATTTTTTTTAATCATTCTAGATTTAGTACACAAAAAATTAGATATAAGCTAAAATTTTCTAAATAAAATACATAATACATAAGGATTCCTTATATATTTCTAGCTAATTTGACAATATTTGAGAGCGATATCTAAGAAGAACTCGAGTGAGATCTTCTTATTATTAGTTAAACAATTGACACGGTAATGTTCATCAGATGCGAAACATTTTCAACAAAAACAAAAGTTACTATTCAGTTTCTCGGTCTTAATAAGCGATTTTCTGAGCACTGACTTTCCATTTTCCATTTTTCTCTATTATAATTTATATCTATTTTTATTAACAAGCTCCGTTCAAACTAAATCAGCTCGCAATTTTTTTATCAATAATGCCCAATAATTTAAATTTCTGTAGGTTTGCGCTTACGGGATTGAACACTAGATAATATCATTTTCGATTCCACATTAACTTCAAACCAAGAGAAATTTAATAAGTACATTAAATAATAAGCAGAACAATAATTTACTAATTTGAAAAGTAATTAATTGTTTCTACTGATATCACATTGCAAACTGAATATGCGTTTTGTGTCTCCGCATCCATAGTTAAGTTAGATTGTTTCAGGGGCGTAACTAGTGCCGTATCAGCCGTATCAAAAATATGGGGCCCCCGAGCCAGAGGGGCCCCCAACGTCCGTAAGCAAATATTAACAATAAAAAAAATATTTCTCAAAAAGCGAATTAATCATGAAAACTATGTTCAATGAATTTTAAGGTCGTTAAAAAAGTTTGCAAGAAATGTTGTATTATTATTTTAAAGAGTTTTATTTAAAAGTTATGAAAACTTTCTTTCAACTAAATTTAATTTCGAAAAAAAAAACATGAGCGTGTCGAATGTAAAAATATAATTTTAGAAGGTTGTGCTACTAATTGCTTTCAACATTTCTTTAATGCTGCTAAAGCTCTATAACATGCAAATAATGACTAATATAAAACTAGCATTTTATCAAGTTATTTCTTGAATAGATTGTGGGAATTAAAAAATCAAAATTAATTTAGTAGTTAGTTTGGGAATTTGGGAAAGGAATGGAGTGTAAAGACTGTTTTTAAAAACAAAAGACAGAATATAATGTCTCGTAATCTTATTTCAAACTCAACATGCACTATAGCTAATTAAACATATTAGTTTCTCAAACTAAAGAAAGATTTCAGAGACTTTGACTCGATTAGTATGTTCGAAATATTAGAACTGGAGCCATTTAGCAAAACACCTGTATCGACAAAACTTTCGTCTGAATATAGTAAAATCATATTTGTTCTCGAGGTATTAGCAACATGCTTTTATTTGTGACCCTTCCAATTGCCACCGCAAACGCTGAAAGAAGATTTTCAAAAATAAAACTACTAAAAAATTAGCTATTTGTAAGCTATGAAACTTTGCGAGTATTTTCCGATATGTGTAAATAATCGACCCAATCCATAAAAAATCAGATTTATTCCAAATTTTTATGAATTTTTAAAATTAATGACTTCGCGGGCTCATAATATTTTAGTTATTATGATGGTTATGATCATGGAATGTTTTATCAAAATCGCATTTTTTTTTCAACAACTAATTACGTAAATGCGGTCCGGTCGATATATCCGAACAGGTTTTGATTTTGAAACAAGGACGAAAATTTTAGTACTGTTTTCCCAATTTCAAAGAAACGGTTCGGTCTATCATTGAAAAACTAAATATTTTCTGACAAAAACATAAACTTTTTTTTCGGGAAGTTAAATACTTCAATACTACAGGAACAGCAGTCAGTCCATCATTGTTCATAGTAGCATAAACTTTAGAAAAACTTCAGCCGCCATAAGCTATAAATGTTTTAATAAATGTGTATATTGAATTTGAATTGTTTGTAGAAATCTTGGAAAATGGATAGATAAATATTGATGACAAATAAAAATTTCTTTTAGTTTTATAATTTTTGTGTGAGAAAATTTTGCCCTACCTAAGGAGGGTCTCAAAAAAAATTTTGAAACGGGGCCCCGCCAATGCACGCTACGCCCCTGGATTGTTTATTATAATCTATTAGGTATTCTAGATTTTATATTTAAAAAATATGAATGTTATATTATAAATTTCATTTCCGAATCTCGTTTTGGCGCCCCCTAAGGCTTACAGCGTGCGCCCGCATTTTTTGCATGCATCGCATGCAAGGCAGGACCGGCCCTGCACACACACACACATGCACACACATACATCAATTTTTTCTAAGTAAGGTATGCCAAAATGTTCAGAAACTTGTAAAACATAGAGATAATCAAAAAATTTCATTTTCGATCATTGGACTACTTCAAGATACACTGTAGGTAGTTAACTACCAAAAAAATTCATTAAAAAAAATTTTGTAATTATTTCCAACATTTTAAAATTTTCGAAAAATTGATTTATTTAAAAAATTCAAAATTTCCGAATATTTTAAATTTTTCAAAAGTCTATTTCTTACAAATTATCAAATAAATTCAAAAATCTTAAAAAATCTAGGTCCTAAATTACGGTACGGAAAGTTCAAGCAACTTGCATTATGGCACAATGCCATGCACCACTAGTTTATTAAATTTCACGCGAACGAAGTCACAGGATAGCTAATTTACATATAACTATTTTCTTTTTATATTCGATTAGGATTTTTATTCTTGGTGCGCGCATGTCCGTCTAATGTCATGTTGCAATGCAGCCTTTGTAGATCTGTCACTGAGGTTATGAGGTTAGGGTTAAAGGTTGTTGTAAAAAATAGGAAAAACTATTAAAATATGTGATAATTATATCATTTAAATGCAAATTCATTTGTGTGTTCTGTGTGAAAAGCTATGGCTTGCATGTCACAAGTGGAGAGCGAAAATCCTAGGCAGTAACGTAAGTTTATATACTCTTAACCCTAAAACTGGAAGTATTAATTTTTTTCTGACTGAGATAATAAATTTGAGTTTTACTTTATGAGCTGTGATGAGCTGTGATTCAGTACAATTTTTTAACTTCCCGTAGGGCAAGTTATAGTAATCGCAAAAAAATTGAAAATGAAAATTTTCATATATTTTTGCGTTTCAAAGGTTTCTGAATATTTTGGCATACCTTAGAAAAAATTTATGTATGTGTGTGTGTGCATGTGTGTGTGTGTGCGGATACAAATTTTCGTCGACGATTTCGGAAACAACAATCAACCGATTTGAATAATTCAAAAAACATTCGATTTATATCGATAAGAAGACGTGCTGATTAGTTTTTGACGAAGGCAGGTCTAGCCGTTCCGAGATACGGGGCAAAAAGTGCCGAAAACGGTAACTCAGTTTTTAAGAGAACGGAGCGTCCAATTTTATAAATTCAAAAAACATTTTATTTGTATTGAGTTGAAAAATTGATCAAATTTTCATGAAGGCAGGTTTAGCGGTTTGGGAGATCTAGTGGAAAAAGTAAAAATAAATGCCATTTGGCGATCAAAAATGATCATTAGACATATGCACATCAAATTAGCAGATATTTTATAGAGATTTTAACAATGAGTATAAATTTTGTTTACATTCCTATGGGTTTCGTACCAATGTTATCCGTTAGACGGCGACGCGGCGCTTACGCGCTTTGACACTTTGACTCTATGCAGTAACTAGCTGTAAGTGGAATTCTGTCTTAAGGCAATTAAGGCATCGTGCCTTAAGGCAAATTGCTGGAACTTCCCGTACCAAAAATTATTATTTTTTTAACATTTTTGAAAAAATTTTACTTCGAGAAAATAAGATTTTTGAGAAACTATAAATTGGACAAAAAATTACTTTTTTTTGAAAAAATTTTTTTTAAAAAAAAAAAAAAATTTTTTAATTTTTTTTTTTTTGAAAAAAAAAATTTTTTTCTTTATTTTGACATATTGTGGAAGATCTGAACTTTCTTTTCAAAGCAATCGTACTGCTTTAACTGCATAAAGACGAAATATCAAACCGCGTAAGCGCCGCGTCGACGTCTAACGCGTAAACATTGGTACGGAACCCATAGGAATGTAAACCAAAATTATACTTATTGTTAAAATCTCTATAAAATATCTGATAATTTGATGTGCATATGTCTAATGATCATTTTTGACCGCCAAATGGCTCATTTTTTTACTTTTTCCTCCATATCTCCGAAACCGCTAGACCTACCTTCATGAAAATTTTATCGATTCTTCATCTTGTCAATACAAGTAAAATGTTGTTTGAATTATTCAAATCGGACGCTTCGTTCTCTTAAAAACTGAGTTACCGTTTTCGGCACTTTTTGCCCCGTATCTTTGGAACGGCTCGACCTGCCTTCGCCAAAAACTAATCAGCACGTCTCCTTATCAATACGAATCGTATGTTTTTTGAATTATTCAAATCGGATGATCCGTGTTCCCGAAATCGTCGACGAAAATTTGTATCCGCACATACATACACACACATACATACATACACACACACACACACACACACACACACATACATCCATTTTTTCTAAGGTATGCCAAAATGTTCAGAAACCTCTGAAACGTAAAGATATATAAAAATTTTCATTTTTGATTTTTTTGCGATTACTATAACTTGCCCTACGGGAAGTTAAAAACAGTACGATTGCTTTGAAAAACAGTTCAGAATTTCCAAAGTATGGCAAAATAAAGAAAACATTTTTTTTTAAAAAAAAGTATTTTTTTGTCAAATTTATAGTATCTCAAAAATCTAATTTTTTCGAAATATTTTTTTCATCAATGTTAATCTTTTTAAAAAAATAAGAATTTTTGGTACGGGAAGTTCCAGCACGATGCCATGCGCACCACTAGTTTCTAGCTACTTTGAAACTTTTCTTTATTGCGTTTTTGGTGTTTGATCTACTTTCTAAACATTTTCTTTCATTTAATGTTTAAGTCAGAGCTTTCTATTTTTTTTCATGCAAGTTGTTAATTAACTACATTATTAACATCCCGTAGGGTAAGTTATAGTAATGGGCCAAAAATCGAAAATGAAATTTTTTGCATAACTTCACGTTTCAGAGGTTTCTGAACATTCTGGCATACCTCAGAAAAAACGTTTGTGTGTGTGCGTATGTGTGGAGACAATTTTTCGTCGACGATTTAACCGATTTGAATGATTCAAAAACCATTCGATTCCTATGATGAGGAGACATGCTGATTAGTTTTTGACGAAGACAGGTGCAGCGGCTTAAGAGATATGGCGCAAAAAGTGCTGAAATTATCAGTTTTTAAGAGAACTGATCAACCTATTTGATCCAAAAAACATTCGATTTGTATTATTGGGAAGAAATGGCGAATTTTGGCAAAAGCAGGTTCAGCCGTTTCGGAGATATGGAGCTAAATGTGCAAAAAATGTTAGATTTTGAGAGAACTAATGCATCCGATTTGAATGATTTAAAAAACTTTCTACTTGTATTGACGAAACGATTGCTTTTGGAGCAAAAAATTCTTTTCATTTTTTTTTAATTTAATTTTGTTTTTTGAATATCAAAAAAACAATTTGGATTTCAATTCTAATTTTAACTAAAGTTCTAACCATCGCTTATATACTTCAAATAAATAATTTTAACTTTGCAATTCAGTTTATGTAATACTTAGAAATATTAGACAATGTTCTTCATTTTAAATCCGATTGATTAAGTTTTGATTATTTACTTTTTATAAAATTAGAATAATGAAAGTTACATTATTTAAAATCATCTATTTAAAACATTTAATATTCCTCGAATATTTCATTAAGATACTGGAAGTTCCAACAATTTGCCTTAAGGCACGATGCCATACACCACTAGTTTTCTTTTTAACTTCACGAAGGAGAAGTGTATGTTTTTATTTATGTGGGCCAAATTTGGAAAAAAGTTAGTGTGTATGTATGTGAGCCGATTTTTGACCTTTTGTCGTCGTTTTCTTAAAAACGGCTGGACAGATTTCCAAAAATTAGCCACGATCGGCAGAAAAGTGTAAAATTTTTCGGATACCTTTTAGGCGACAATATTGTATCTAAATAAGAGCTGGAAGCATAAACAATTTTCTTTAACAATATTACGTTTCTTTAACTTCCCGTAGGGTAATTATAGTAATGGGCCGAAAATCGAAAATGAACATTTTTGCATATCTTCACGTTTTTAAGGTTTCTGGACATTTTGTCATACCTCAGAAAAAATGGATGTGTGTGTGTTTTGTATGTCCGTATTTTTTCGTCCACGTTTTCGGGCGCACGGATCAACCGATTTAGATGGTTCAAAAACATTCGATTCCTATTGATAGGGAGATGTGCTGATAAGTTTTTGGCAAAGGCAGGTCCAACCGTTACGGAGATACAGAGCAAAGAGTGCCGAAAATCAAAATTTGGAAAATCGACGTTTTCTCAAAAACGGCTAGACCGCGATTTCATAAATTTAAAAATCATTCGATGTATCTTGATGGGGACTACCGTTTATTAATTTTGCGCGACGATCAGTCAACCCGTTTCTATGTAAATTGCAGAAAAGTGAAAATTTTTTTGTCCACGTTTTAGCCCGCATCTGAATCGATTTTGATAATTAAAAAATCGTAAGGACTATCGTTTGTCAGTTTTGTGCGACGATCTGCCAAGCCCTGTCTTAGTAATTTTGAAAAAAGTGTTAAGCATTTCGTCCATATTTAAGCTCTTCTACCGAATTGATTTTAAAAAATCAAAAACGGGAATGATACTGATTAGTTGATTAGTTTTATGTAAAATTCTACCGAGCCATTTTCTTGTAATTAACTGTTGAAAAAAATTAAGCTAAATAAAATATTAAATTAAATTAATTTTTATGGAACTTTTTTTGGCGATATATATCATAGTCTTTTAGAAGTAGTTTAATTTTAAAAAATCATCAAAGTTTGAGAAAATGAGTATAGTTCTTTCGACGTTTGTTAAAATTAAAATTAGACAATTTACTTGGTATAGTGATAAAGTACCTGGTCTCAATAAACATACTAAACCATTAAAGTCCTATGGAAAATGGTTCAATTATAAAAAAATATTGAATTTTGAAAATTTGCTTTCATAAAATACTCCGACCGGGTTAACGTGTTCGATTTTCAATAATGTATAATACCACTTCAAATACTTTTAACCACTTATAAAATAATTTATTTATCATGGATTAAGTCGATTATTTACATATATCGGGAAGTTCATGTAACTTGCTTTAAGGCAAAATACCAATACCAACTAGTTTCATTTTTTGCCATCGGACTCCAATTTTGACTTTAGATGCTTTTTCAACAGTGAAAAACTATGTTAGAAATCGTTAGAAAACATATGACGCCCACACAATTTTTCGTGAACCTATGTAATTAATACAAATAAATTTATTAATATCTTCTATAATATAAATTTATCATAAATCAATGTGATCGGCAATGAATATCATAATACAATTTAGAGATATAAGTGTCTCCTGTAATACAATTTACATGTACCTACGTCTTACAAACTACACATTCCATTCAATCTTCTTTATTCTAATCTGGATCTTGTGTTTAATAACTAGCTCAAGGTTTGTTTTTATATTAATCACGATAACTTTTATACAATTTATCTATTACAAAAATGCTTACACATTATTAAAGATAGATAAATTTAAAACGAAATAAGATATATAAAAATCAAAGTTAGTCGATAATAATATCACAAACGCAAATTTTATGTTTTCTGTTACAATCTATGCAATCAATTTTATATTGCCTGTCAAAAATGACGAACCTGCACAGTTCTGTTTATTGCGTCGGCATGCTGGACAGTGGCTATGTCAATATTATGCAGAACGCTTTACATGTCCATTGGAGACAAAAAAAAATTAATATTGTTAATGATCCCATTGTTAATCGCCTGTTACTAGTTATCCCCTAGACCCTCTATTTATTTAATATAATAATTTTAAGATATCAGAACAATAGTGAACGCTTAAATGATCATAATTGTGTATTAAGAATTAAGTTTATAATTTTGTAGGTGCATATATCCTTCAAAAATAAAATATAAATTATCCCAAAACAGTTGCATCCGATGATTAATTTCAAAAATCTTTCAAAACATAAAATCTATCCGGTCACAAATGTCATTTATTTCTAACTCTTTTACATTTTGAAATCATATTTATTCCATTTTCTTCTCAACTGACAAACAAAAAAAATCCATACTGAAGCTTTAAACAAAAACAAATGATTATTTGTGCGTTATTTGATTTTTTAGAATTTTACGTCAATTTGATTAACACTCAAAATTGATCAGTCTTAAAGGCAGCAATTAACAAAAAAACGTTAATGGGTCGCAATACGGAACCAAAGAACTAGAAATAATTTTGTAATCGATAGTAAATTTTGTTATTTATAAGTCAACCTGACATATCTTCAAAATACTTAGGTAAGTGTTACTTACATTATATGCATAGCGTAATATTTATCTTTTTGAGAAATTATATAAGCTCCAAATGTTTTCGTGAATTCTTTAAAGGAATATTGTGCTCAATGTGTCGTAAAAGAAATTTTCAAGTCCGACAAATAATAATTAAGGTCTGTATATAATAAAAAGGGAATAAAATATGAAAACAATTGTGATCATGAAATGCTGAAACAAAATTGTTAAAATAATTTTAACAGAAAAAAGGGTAAATAAGAAACAATTAAAAATTAGAACTGTCGGAAGAAAAATCATAAGCAAATTGGCATATTCAGAAATATTGTAGAACCTTTGGGCTTTTGGTCATAGAAAATCCTGTAGTGGTAGTAAATTAAAAAGTTGTAACCTAGGCCGTCAATCGTATTAAATGAATTTGCAAGCTTAAAAATTGGTTTCCTTATAGTCAAATTTCTTGCTTTATGATAAAAATCAAGATTATTTGTTGCAAAGATTAAAAATTTAGCAAAATTATACAGGGAAGAACGTGGGCTATTACCAACTAGTCCCGGGTTCGCTGGTTCGATTCCCGCTACCGCCATAGCCCGACATCAGGCAACTTTGATGTCAAATTTCCACTTGAGGTTATAAATCTCAAATATAGCCTCAAGTGAAAATTGCCTCTAGTGGGTCTAGTTGCATATATATAATAAAAATGTCAGCAAATACTTCGAGTATAGTTAATTAGTAATAATTGGATTGGACAACTACTGAGTTGCCATCCATTCAAAAATCCATATAATAAAGCCAAAACAATTACTGAATGCCCTAATTGTGACAGATTATAATTTAAAAAAAAATACAGGGGAAAGTAAAGATGTTAAATAGTTATATGGACAAACAACTGAGGAAAAATATATTCTTACCCATTTTTTTTGTAATATATTTTTTAAGGATGAACTGAATTTTGAATTATGAACTCTTATCATGAAGCCAGTTTTAGAAAACTTAAATCCAAGTATGAAATGAATATGCCTGTCCTAATTTAAATTTTTGATGCTTAGATATTTAGAAATAGAAGTCAATATATATGGGATGTTATATATAGTTAGAGAGTTGAATTGTTGAACTCACTATTTGTTTTATGCATTGCTCAATGAGCACAAGATTATTAGAATTGAACCAATCTGAAAGTTATGACTAAATTTAATCTGTTATTTACTTACTGACTATTAATTTGTCAAGCTCAATGTAGAAATCAGCAATTACAATAATAATAATTAGTTTTCTCTTGGAACCTCACGTGCTTTCTACTTTTTAAACTATTTCTTTCATCTTTCCTTATTTTGCCTTAAAACACCACCAATCTGTATTATTTGGCATTTACAAAACGAAATTTTTTACTATATAATTTTATTACTTAATAATCTTTGAAACATAATCCAGAAACCAACTTTTTGCACCCGAAAAAAAGGTATACTCGTATAATCTTTGCAAGGTATTGCATTTATTTATTACCATAGTGTTAAGTGTTTTAATAAAACAATTTTACCAAACGTTTTGCGCATGTAAATTCTTTTAATAATTTTAATAATACTATTTTTCCAGTGTTTTCATTATCTTATTTATTCTAATAGTTTATGAAATTTTTAATTTAGATCAGATGCCATTATAATAAATAAATTTATTAGCATAATATTATTTCAAACTGAGTCGTTAAGCTAGGTAAGTGGTAGAAATCATTGGAGGGTTTTCACATTTGTTTCATCCAAGACCAATTTTTTTGGGAATAAAAAAAACCAAAGGTTCAAAGTTTGCTTTTTCACCTTCTTTCCTATATTAGTATTATGGCAATTCTTCAATCAGCCGTGTAAGATTATTCTGGAAATATTTTCTTTCTATAAAGAAATTCACTTCTTACCAATTACTAATTTATTTTTATAGAATGCAATGCGATGCAGATATGAGGCAGTGAGTGATCTTTCGCTCCGACAAAGATTTGTTTTCAATTTGCGATGAGTGGTGACGCGTCCAAAGATCCAGCCTTGCCGATCCAAATTAGTACCAAATCCTTACCGCTTATTTCTGCTGATGATTTTTGCAATCAGAATGGAGACGGTAAGCAAATATTACATAGATCTTTAAAATTAAGGTGACTATACGACCCGGTTTAGTCGGGACAGTCCCGGATTTCTAGCTTGTGTCCCGGGTATTTCTACAAGCAATATTTGGCCTGGATTCGGATCTTTTGTCCCGGATTTAGATCTTTTGTCCCTGATTGTCCCGGTTTTGCTGTTTTTAATTAAGAAAAATTATAGAAATAAACAAATCTGTGCAAATATTTTTAAATTAATTATGAAGAAAATTGAGTAAAATTTTATACAAGGCTCAAAAGCGAAAAAACTGATGGATCGAAAAATGTAAGATATAATATTATGTCATAGATACAGAAGTATTACTTATAATCGAATAATAAAGTTCTTACTAAAGGTCCGCAATTTCAATTTTAAAAAATTGATTCATATATTATTAGGAACCCCTTTTTATTTGTTTATTTATAATCCTTTTTGTTATAAATCATTTTATGGTTAGTTATTTAAATTACCGTTACCTTTCATTGCGTACTGCTGCAAGACTATTTAAATTTACAACTACTAGTAATGAGAGACTTTTGTTCGTGACTTAACTAAACAATATTGTGTATTTACATATTTACATGATTATTTTAATATCAATCTTAACTCTACAACTTAAATCTAAACTTATCTCTGTAACCACGGCGCAACCAGTGTCCGTAACTTGTCTATACATCGGGATCCCGATTCACATCACACTAATCACATTTTATAATTACACCAAGTCAACCTTCGGTTTGGGGATAGCTTTCGATGCGCTGCCCCCCATAACATTATTTTAACTTACTTTATTACCAACATTAATTTGATAAAACATTGCGCGCACTACACCGCGCTCATCCCTTCGACTTATACTCTTAAGAACCGAATCTTTCGACTGACACCCCTCAAGGCCAATCTCCGACTTCCACCACTTGCGGACTCTCCCACACTCTTCGTCAGGGACGGTTTTTAGTGCAGTAAACGGAGAGGAAAAAAGGGTATAACTTCGGAATTTTTCTACTGTGTGCTCCGAATTGAATGAATTTTTGGAATTAGGTTCATCTTACCCTCAAGTTCAGAAGTGAAAACAATTCGGGTTGCGCCATCACCCCCCGGGGGGATGACACCCCTTCTCAATTGTGTAATTACATTTTTTCAAACTCAAATAAGAAGCATATACGAAGTTTTTTTCTTTTAAATCATATGGTTTAATGAGCGCCATTTCCACCAGAATTAAAGTAATTCACATTCCATCTAGAATTCACTTCATTATAGACATCTTGATCGATTCTAGCAGATTCACTACTTTAGTACAAACTATTTTCAGAAAACTCACGATTTTATTAAAACTTTTTTTCGATTTTTTTTTGAAAATCGAAATTATTTTCATTATATCTCAAAATTATTTTTGAGAAGATACGTATGAAAGCATATAGATAAAAATCAAAGGAATCTTTCTGGCTTACTATTGTTTTTTATTATTTTTCTTTCACGCAAAAATTCACAGAGTTATGAATGTTTAAAGACTGCGCGGCCGCGCAAATTGGAAAAAAATGTTTTTATAAAATCGTGAGTTTTCTGAAAATAGTTTGTACTAAAGTAGTGAATCTGCTAGAATTCATCAAGATGTCTATAATGAAGTGAATTCTAGATGGAATGTGATTTACTTGAACTCTGGTGGAAATGGCGCTCATTAAACCATATGATTTAAAAGGAAAAAACTTCGTATATGCTTCTTATTTGCATGATAGCGTACTCATTTTACACGCAAAAAACTTGTAACAGCACTCATTTTAAAGCTTATGTTGAGCTTTAAAATGAATGAAAAACCCAATTTCACCGAAATGCATAAAATGTAAAACCTCTACACTAGATGGCTTTAAATACAACAATTAAATCTTGAACGAAATAAAAAACGACTTTGCTCTTTCAAATCTTGCTTAATATTTTTCCTGGAAGACTTTATGTAATACCGATTTATTAAGATTTTTATTGACATTATTTTGTTCATTTCATGATTTTCGTTAAAATGTATATTTTAGGAGATATTTGCAAAAAAAACGAAGAACACCAAAAATATATGAATCTTTAGTGGCCAGTAACTTGAAAAGTATTAGTTTTTTGAAAAACTATAAAAGGCATTTTTTTCTTATAATTAGTTCTTCTTAGATTTCCGACGTTAGTTTGAAAAAATGTAATTACACAATTGAGAAGGGGTGTCATCCCCCCGAGGGGTAATGGCGCAACCCGAATTGTTTTCACTTTTGAACTTGAGGGTGAGATGAACCTAATTCCAAAATTTCATTCAATTCGGAGCACAGTAAAAAAAATCATACCTAAAACGCTCCGTTTACTGCACTATTTCACATATGGGTCATTCTTTTACAAACCGGACACTTTTTAACCTTGACATTTTAGAATTGTCTGAAAATTTGTTTACAGATACTATTCATAAAATCATTTGACACGTATTTCAGGATTTTGCTGAAAAAAATTTTTTGACGTTAATATTTACGATTGAAATATGGAGTTTTTGCTCAATTTCTATGAACATCATCTGCGGTAAATTAATTATCTCCGGATGTGCTGATCCGATCAGTATTATTTTTTTTTATTACACTCATATTGAAGTGAACTTAGTAATGATTAAAAAAATTTTTTTTTGTTTTTGCAATTTTCTTAACAATAACAACCCTTAAATATTTACAAAGGTTTTACTCGGCCTTTACCCGAATTGAATCGATCCAAAAAAAACATATATTTTCTTTTTTTCTCTGCAACAAAATTCTTTTTACAATTTGTTGGAGGTTTTGTTACATCGAAAGATATTAAATATTTTCAAGCGCGAGCCGCGCTTTTCACGTCGTGGACCTCAAAGACTTGTACTCATTTGTCACTTTCGAATAACAATCTTATTGTTTTTGGTTGAAAAATATTTTATAATTTCGCTTCTGGCGAAAAATGAACATATAGTCGAAAAAAAACATTAGGGGAGAGCGGAGCTTAAAAGTTCGTGGGTAAAAAGATCCACTGCCAATATCTCAAAAACAAGTAAAGTTAGAAATTTTTTGACAACAATATTTGAATGTAGAGGAATATTTAAGTTGGCTTCAATCCTTTCTGATATAATCTCTATTGAAGCTTACATGTGGGTGGGGTAAACAGAGTCAACCACATCTTCATACTGGCCTAGGTGTAAATAATAAGGAAATAGTAAATAAAAAATTAAATTAAGTTAGAAAGAAGCTATTTTACAATAGATATATTGATATATATATAATTATATATAAATTAATAGTTAATTAACTCTGCTGATAAATATTTCTGACAAAGCATCAGATCAAAGGTATATCTGGTATTTTCTTTATAAAAATATACGAATGAAATTTTTATGTTACATTGGCTATATAATTTAGCTATTATTACGTAAAATTCTATTAAAATTAAAAATAAGTCGATCCCTTTTTATCCAGGCTACGGAGTAAAGGCGGAAAATGACGAATTTAAAAAAAGTGGCTGAAAAACTTTTTTATTATTAGAAAAATCTAACTGAACAATCCGTCTACATTCAAATATTGTTGTTAAAAAAATTCTAACTTTACTTGTTTTTGAGATATTGGCAGTGGATCTTTTTACCCACGAACTTTTAAGCTCCGCTCTCCCCTAATGTTTTTTTCGACTATACGTTCATTTTTCGCCAGAAGCGAAATTATAAAATATTTTTCAACCGAAAAACAATAAGATTGTCATTCGAAAGTGACAAATGAGTACAAGTCTTTGAGGTCCACGACGTGAAAAGCGCGGCTCGCGCTTGAAAATATTTAATATCTTTCGATGTAACAAAACCTCCAACAAATTGTAAAAAGAATTTTGTTGCAGAGAAAAAAAGAAAATATATGTTTTTTTTTGGATCGATTCAATTCGGGTAAAGGCCGAGTAAAACCTTTGTAAATATTTAAGGGTTGTTATTGTTAAGAAAATTGCAAAAACAAAAAAAAATTTTTTTAATCATTACTAAGTTCACTTCAATATGAGTGTAATAAAAAAAAATAATACTGATCGGATCAGCACATCCGGAGATAATTAATTTACCGCAGATGATGTTCATAGAAATTGAGCAAAAACTCCATATTTCAATCGTAAATATTAACGTCAAAAAATTTTTTTCAGCAAAATCCTGAAATACGTGTCAAATGATTTTATGAATAGTATCTGTAAACAAATTTTCAGACAATTCTAAAATGTCAAGGTTAAAAAGTGTCCGGTTTGTAAAAGAATGACCCATATATGGAGAGGGGTGGCTCTATGTAATTTACATGTGTGTGGGTACTCACCCACACATTCGTAACAATATAAAAGACTGTTTTTTGTATCCTTAAATTATTTTAAAGCAAGAAAATAATGGTGTAAACATTGTAGTCAATAATTATGAATACTGAAATTGATACATGAAATCACATTCTTAGTAATTCAAATTTACTCTTTATTTGTTTCTTTCCCATTCGAAGAAAGATCAAAAGTTTGCAATTATCCCAAGAGTATTCCAAGCAAGACCGATCAAATCCCGCCAACTCCTCAACAGAAATTGTCAGAAGCTGCGATAGCTGTTCGGAAATCTCATAGCAATGCCACAAACCTGATTGTCAACAATAAAAGTTACCCAGTTGCAGCTTCTGTAGTTCTTACTGACAGCGAAAGTGGAGAAGATGGATCAACGGATTCGGAAAACGAATGTGAGGATGCGCAGGAAGAAGTTGTTACGCCTACTGCAGCAGGAAATAACACCTTGGTGAGAGTTTTAAAGCAGCAAGAACGATAATATAGATATAGGTTATAATTAACTTCCAATAGGGCAAGTTATAGTAATCGCAAAGAATCGAAAATGAAAATTTTTATATATCTTTACGTTTCAGAGGTTTCTGATCATTTTGGCATATCTTAGAAAAAATGGATGTATGTTTTTTTTTTTGTATAGCGAAGGAAATGCTTTTATGCATCCCAGACCGGTCTTCTGTCTGGGTATGTCGGACTCGATACCGCCCTGGTATAATACCGACTAAAACCTCCGCTTTGCCCATGCCTCTGGTCCCCACGGAAACCGCCGTTAGGCATTACTTCGTGGGGGGAGGATCTAGAATGTAACAATTCTTAACTTGTTATAAACAATGTTATAATTAATAAACATTATACTTATCTTTTAAATGGGCAAAGTGCCATTCGCCCTTTCTCTCTCTATAGAACGCAGGTCCATTAAAACGTCTCTCGCAAATCTGTCTATGGCGTTCCAAGCAGCATCACTTGCCAGCATCACTTCAACAACATTACCTGGGGTAATTGTGCGTCTCAGTGTCTCCTCCACATCATCCCGTAGAGCACCAAATCGCGGGCACACGAAGAACACATGCTCAGCATCTTCGATTTCGCCCAAACAATATGGGCAATCCGGCGAGCTATCGTGCTTGCATAGCATTTGCGTAGTATAATAATTTACTTCGCCGTGCTTGCGACTTAGCCAGACTTTGATGTTAGGAATGTGACGATGTGTCCATCTGCCCTTTACTGCGACATCCCACAGTTGCTGCCATCCGTCAATGCTGTTCTGCCGTTCTTCTAATCTCAGCTTTTCAGGACTCAGTTGTTGATGTCTTCTATGGTAAATTGTCCGTCTTTCCTCTGCTAAGACGAAGAGAGGCACAGTTCCTGAAATGACGCATACTGCTTCAGCCGATATTGTGCGAAATGCGCAAACAATTCTTATAGCACTGAGACGATATAAGGGCCCTGCCATTCTCCTCGATTTTGAGATTAAGAGCATCAGCCCATATGGAGATACCATATGTCAGCACCGAGGTAATAACTGACGATAGTAATATCCTTCTGGTTTGTTTAGGACCTCCAATATTAGGCATCAGTCGAGCAAGTTTCGTTCTAACTATTGACGCCTTAGCACTAACGTGTTCCACCTGTTGATTGAAATTCAAACGAGCATCAAGCATTACGCCAAGGTAACAGATGTGAGGTTTTGACGTGATTTCAAGATTTCCTATCTTTAGCTTGATGGTCTCAATTCTTTTCCTACTAGTGATAAGAACAGCTTCACTTTTTTGTTGTGCTAATTGGATATTCATTGTTCCCATCCACCGATTAATTTTTCTAAATGTAATATCGAATAGGCTTACGATGTTATCAATTTGTTTGGAGGCAACCACTAAGGCAACATCGTCTGCATATGCTACTAGTTTCACACATTCTGGAATCTCTAGTCTCAAAAGTCCATCATACATAATATTCCACAGCAAAGGGCCTAGAACAGAGCCCTGCGGCACACCTCCTGTTATATTATATTCTTCTGTACCATCGCGTGAATCGTACATTAGAATTCTGTCTGTAAAGTAGCTTGCGACTATATTGCATAGGTATGCTGGCACGTTCTTGTCACGGAGTGCATTCATAATGCAATCCCAGTTTGCAGAATTGAAAGCATTTTTTATGTCCAATGTAGCTACAAGGCAGTACTTTTTTGAACCTCCCTTCCATCTGGTTCCAGCAATTGCCTCCTTGGAAAATGGATGTATGTGGGTGTGGGTGTTTGTGTGTATGTGCGTGTGTGTATGTATGTGCGGATACAAATTTTCGTCGACGATTTCGAGAACACGGATCAACCGATTTGAATAATTCAAAAAACATTTGAGTCGTATTGATAAGGAGACGTGCTGATTAGTTTTTGGCGAAGGCAGGTCTAGCTGTTCGGTCTTGAAGGGACAAAAAGTGCCGAAAACGGTAACTCAGTTCTTAAGAGAACGGAGCGTCCGATTTGAATAATTCAAAAAACATTTCACTTGTATTGACAAGATGAAGAATTGATAAAATTTTCATAAAGGCAGGTCTAGCGGTTTCGGAGATCTAATGAAAAAAGTAAAAAAAAATGCCATTCGGCGGTTAAAAATGATTATTAGACATATGCACATTAAATTATCAGATATTTTATAGAGATTTTAACAATAAGTATAATTTTTTTTTACATTTCTATGGGTTCCGTACCAATGCTTATGCGTTAGACGACGGCGCGGCACTTGCGCGTTTTGACATTTCGTCTCTATGCAGTTAAAGCAGTACGATTGCTTTGAAAAAAAGTTCAGAATTTCCAAAATATGCCAAAATGAAGAAAAAAATTTTCTTTTCAAAAAAATTTGTTTCCAAAAAAAAAACAATTTTTTTTCAAAAAAAAGTAACTTTTTGTCAAATTTATAGTTTCTCAAAAATCTAATTTTTCGAAGTAAATTTTTTTCAAAAATGTTAACCGTTTTTAAAAAAATAATAATTTTTGGTACGGGAAGTTCCAGCAAAATTTGCCTTAAGGCACGATGTCTTAATTGCCTTAAGACAGAATTCCACTTACAGCTAGTTGTAGATATAAATTACATACCCCTTGTATGTCTTAAGTGCGTGTTGTTCGCAAAGTTAAATAGCCGAGTGTTTAAGATGGTGTACTCCTATAGATTCACCTGAGTTCATAGAAAATTAAGTGATTTTTTACTTCCCGTAGGATAAGTTATAGTAATCGTCCAAATGTCGGAAATGAAATTTTTTGCATATCTTAACGTTTCACAGGTTTCTGAACATTTTGGCATACTTTAGAGAAAATAAAAGTATGTATGTATGTGTGTTTTCTTGTCCACTGTTTCAAGCGCACGGATTTGATTGATTAAAATCAAAATAGTATTCTGTTCCTACTGATAGTGAGGCGTACTGATTAGTTTTTGGCAAAGACAGGTTCAGTCGTTTCAGAAGTACGGAGCAAAGGGTGCAGAAAATGAAATTTAATTTGGAGAGAAGTATCTGATTTGAATCATTTAAAAAACATTCGATTTATAAAAAAGTGCAAAAAATGACATTTATTGAGAGAACGAAGCATCTGATTTCAATGATTCGGATTTTAAATTTAATTTAAGATAAAACTCTAAAGCTCACCTATATACTATAAAATAAATAATTATAATTTTTTGGTTGTATTTGTTGGCATGTGAATATATATAGAGGTCGTTATCCAATTTAAAAGCTCTACAAAATACGAATGATGAAAGTTACAGTATTTATATTAATCTATTTAAAAATATTTAATATTTCTTGAATATTTTCATAACAATAAGGAAAGCTCCAGCAATTTGCCTTAAGACACGATGCCATGCACCACTAGTTTCATTTAATTTTATTTTATTATAAAACATTAATGTATCTGATAAATTGAATAAATATAGAATCATAAATATTAGGTTTGTTTTAAGGATATCACTTGAAAATCGAAATATATTGTGATTAGTTTTTAGTGAAAAAAGAAAATGTTATTTTTAAAATAAGCTCTTGAACTTTTTTTTGTCATAATTAAAAAGTTATTAAATCTTAATTCTTTCTGATTGTGCAGCTTTTCTTAATGCAAAATTCTACTCACGATTAGCTTAGTTCAAAATTCATTTCAAAATCGTTAAATATTTTTGGGTAAAATTCTACACTTCATTCAGTGGAAAATTTTATTATAATAATAAAAATAGTAATAGTAATTTATTCAACATTAAAAGAAACATTGTTAAATAGGAATAGAAATCACAATTTTTCTATAAGAACATTAATATAAAATATTTTCAAATTAAATCTTTCGACATTTTTTTTCTTAATAATCTTTGAAATACATTCCAAAAACTGTTGTATCTCAAGGGGATAAAATGTCATTTATCAACTTTCCCTAGGGTAGTTATAGTAATGGACCGAAAATCAAAAATGAAAATTTTTACATATCTTCACGTTTTGAAGGGTTTTGAACATTTTGGCATACCTCAGAAAAAATGTATGTGTGTGTATATATATGTGTGTATGTGTATTTTGTGTGCCCGCATTTTGTCGTTCACGTTTTCGGGCGCACGGATCAATCGATTCGAATGGTTCAAAAAACATTCGATTCCTATTGATAGGGAGATATGCTGATTAGTTTTTGACAACCGCAGGTCCAGTCATTTCGAAGATACAGAGAAGCAAGCGTCCGATTTGAATGATTCAAAGTGATTCAAAGAACTTTCTGCTTGTTTCAACAAAATAATTGCTTTTGCAAATAGTTTCAATTTTTTTTTTCAAAGGAAAATTTTTTTTCAATTTTTTTTTTGTATTTGTATATCGAAAATATTCAGATTTCAATTTTTAATTCTGACTAAAGTTGTAATATACTTTAAACAAATAATTTTAACTTTGCAATTCAGTTCATATAATTCTTATAAATATTAGACAATGTTTTATTGCTTTAAAAACATTTAATATTCCTCGAATTCCATATCGTAACGGTACGGTAAGTTCCAACAATTTCCCTTAAGGCACGATGCCAGACACCACTAGTTTATTCTCTTATCGTTAAGCAGTTTTTAACTTCCCTCGGGGTAAGTTATAGTAATGTAATCGCAAAAAATCAAAAATGATTTTTTTTTCATATCTTTACTCCTACCGAATAAAGGAATTATGGATTTTATTGATAATTCGATTCTTAAGCAACCTTATCCTATATATAGTTTTAACGTTTCTACAATCTGCTAATAGATATAACACTTTCTTACATCAGTTATTTTTTAGATAACTCCTGTAACTACACGCAAACCAAGCACAGATTTGCGCGAAGTCGTTGACAAAGCGTTAAATAAAAAAAGCAGCGTCAAAGGCAAGAAAAAAAGTAAAACCAAAGAAAAGGAAAAAGAAAAAGATGCTGCTGCAGCAGCAAATAAGAAAAAGAAACGCAAAAAGTATTAACAGATTTAGAGTACAATTTTAGTAAGGGATTATTGATCTTTTGTGAAAATTTCAGGCCCAACGTCACTATATGCACTTCCAACTGTCGGTATGAAGTCATCAGGAGAACTGCTGCCAAATTTGGTTTACGAGAGGTAATTATAAATGAATCATTTATATTCATATAATAAAATGAAAAAAATCGAATTTAATAGTATATATATATATACATATATATATATATATATATATACTAGTTGACCCGGCAAACGTTGTTTTGCTAAGTAAGATATATTCTAAACAATTTCTAGAGAATCAAAAAAATTAATACTTTAAGTGCATAAGGATGTATTGTTTGAATACTATAAATCCTATTAGTTTGTCTATATTTTATCATTACCAAACTGGAAGTTTTATACACTTTCTGTAGAAAACATGGTATAATCCAATTCAAGTCATTTTTGGTCTTTCGACTTATTGATTACATTTCAAGTTTTTCAGATTCTTTTTTGATTCAGGATTTTGTGTGTAATTGTAAATAATATTACTGAGCTTATACAAAATTTTCAAATTTTTGCGAGGAGAGAGGAGAGATAGAAAATAAATGAAGTATTTCTTCTTTGACCTGCTTTTTGAAAAGTTTCAAGTAACATTCGATGAATTGAAGTAAATTTAATAAAAAGTATATATGTAGAGCAGGTGTGATAAACCAAATTTCTCAGATCGATACCTAAACTATTTTTCCTACCACCCTCTACTAAAATAGGCACCATTATCAACTTAATAGAGATCATGCTATACTATTGTCTCATAACAAATTTTTTGAAAAACAACCTCTCATTAGTATCACAAATCTTAAGTAAAAATTCTTATCCTCAATATTTGATCTAATCCATAACCAAAAACAGAATTTTATACCTCCAAAACCGTCATAACTTTTTAACTGGAAAACCAAACCGCGAAAATTACGTCGGAACTATTACCTTACCCTTCATAAACGATCTATACTACGCATGGGAAAAATTTTTCATTAAACATAATATTAGAGTAATCTTTACCTCAGATTCACACTCTTTGAACATTATTCACTAAATAAAAATCTAAATTCGAAGCGAAAATTTTAAGTAATTTTGTATACAAATTAAATTGTCTAAATTGCCAAGGATTTTACATTGGCGAAACTTAGAAATAATTCAAAAAATAAAAATCAGTATAAAACAATGCTTTCAGATCACATTAATATCTTTTAACATTACATTGATTTTCTGAGTCTCGATGAAAACTGAAAGTAAATTAATAGAGCTGTTTTTCTAATTGCTCCAGTTTTTTTTCACTTGGTGATATTGCCTGACTCAACTCATTTTAATATATATATATATATATATATATATATATATATATATATATATATATATATATAATTATTTCTTCTAAAGAACATCTTATTTATTTTGATAAGTAAACAATCTCGATTTCCTTTTCAGGTTGGCGAAGACGATCTATGGAATCTCTACTGGACTGATTTGAGTATAACTGTAGAACGTGCCAAAGATATGAAAAGATTTCAAAAAATCAATCATTTTCCTGGAATGTTAGAAATATGCAGAAAGGATTTATTAGCAAGAAATTTAAACAGAATGGCAAAATTGTTTCCCAAGGAATATAATATATTTCCAAAAACTTGGTGCCTGCCAGCCGAGTGAGTGAGAATATTTTGATATTAAAAAACGAAAACAAATGTACTTGATTTTGTTCATTTATAAAGTTCCAACTAGGACCAAATATTTTCAACTTTTATAATATAAGTGTTATAATGCATAAAAGTATTAATACTAATGTGCAAACATTTCAAATGTTCGAATAATACAAAAAAAAACAGTAATTTAGTTCCGATTGCGTTCTTTGTTTCTTGGGCCCTTTTTTAATAGTTAGGTTTTATGTGTAAAACCGCTGATCAAACATTAAGAAACATAGCATTTTGACAGTTTTTACTACCAATTTATACGAAGAAAGCACCGTAACATACCGATACCGTAACATTTCTATTTTATCAGAGATTTCGCTCCATAGAGTCGCTGAGTAACTCGGCAAATTTCTAAATATTACAATTTGTACCAAATTGAAATTTATATTTAAAGGATTGTAATGATCAAACAAGGCCATCGCGATTTCTAAATCTAAATTTCAATTATTATCAAATCGATTTTATACACATATTGGGAAAGTTTTTGCAAATTGCTTCAAGGCAAATGCCGCTCACAAGCTTTATACATATATTGTCAATTAACAATGTTTTCTTTATTTTAAGTCTTTCAGAGGCCATGACTTACAGTCGAAGTCACAAATACCGAACATATATTTTAAAGCCAGACACTGGTAGCCAAGGACGAGGCATATATCTTACAAAGAATCTGAAAGATATTAAACCCTACGATAGGATGATATGTCAACTGTATATATCGAGGGTAAGTAATTTGATTGGATTTATCTTATCCATATATTTTAATACATCTTAATATATATTTCTAATATGTTGAATGCAGAAGCATGTTCTAAACGATTTAAAGTTAATATACGAAGTTAATACTTGAAATATAAAATAAAAATATTTTACTTATTTAATAAAATTCCAAGATTACAATAGAAGGAAATATCACAATTCAATTGCAACAATTGTAAAACGAAGCAGGTTTATTATTATATTATTTATAATATATTTGAAATTGTTATATTTATATTTATAATTTGTAGCATGTTGTTGTAATTGAGGTCTTTGTAAGAATTAATACAGACCCTAAATTGTTAGACAACACCTAGACTATCTGCTTGTCTAGTTTTCTTTCAAAGCAAATAAATGTTTCATCTTTTACTAAAGATTTTCGTGAAGGGTGGCACTCAAATGAGACTATTCTCAATTTTTTGTGAGCCTCGCATTCACTTGCTGAGCCGATGATAATCTAAATAAAATATTCTTGAAGTTAACGTCATCTTACACAAACAGTTATACACCTGGACTACCCCTTTGTCACTCTAGTTTTCCTCAGATTTCCGTGGATTTCCTTTTTCGATCGAATAAAACCCGAAGTTCAAGTACTTATCGCATGTAGGAATAGATGTCGATGCTGTGTTTACTTTGTGGAATTCATACGCTGGCCGGCCCCAAAATACAGACCCTATATTGTTAGGCAACGCCTCGACTTCCTGTTTGTCTCTCGAAAGATCATACTTCACAGAATCATTTCTGTAGTATACGACCCGGAAGTGCAAGAGTGTAGTGAAATTTCAAAGTTATTAGAAGCTAGTTTATTTTGAAGAATATTTTGTAAGTATTATTATAAGAAGATAAAAAAAATCTACAGTCAGGTGGGTGTCCCCACCACAGAGAATCCTAGGCATAAGCCTAGGAAATCTATAAAAGGCTAGAAATCAAAAATAACAAACAAACAATGGTACGCAGTAAAAAGAATAAAAAAGAAAACAGGTTCCAGTCACTTACTGACCGAAGTGATATGGATACTGATCTTGAACTTGAAGAATTTACAAAAGTTAAGTCAAGAAAGCGTGGCCAAAAACAGGAAACAATGGAAGTCATACAGGGGAATAATGACACGAAACCTATAGCAGAAAAGGTACCACCAATAATAGTAAAACATAACTTAGACCTCAGGGCTATAAACTACATCAGAGACGTTACGAAAGTTAATTTTACTATACAATATATTAAAACGCATACCCATAAAAATATATACTAAGACACTAGTAGATCATAACAAGATAAAGAGTACATTAAGAGATTGCAGTTACCAGTTTTATACGTATTCCACTTTGAGAAACAACAAAGAAAATCACACTAACAGGCTTACATCCAGCAATTACTGAATTAGAGGTATTTGAATTACTGAGTGTACGACGTATTCTTGTGCAAAAGGTCATACAATTAAAGAAAACCTATTCTGATGGACAAAAACATAATCTACCAATTTATATAATTTTGCTTGACAAATCGCAGGATATGTCAAAAGTAAAAGAAATAACGAACTTAAATGGTCACATTATTAAATGGGAAATGTATAAGGCAAATTTCAAAATCCTACAATGTCATAAATGTTAAGTTTTGGACATACGTCTTACTCGTGCGATATGAAATATAGATGCATTAAATGCACAAAAGCACATTCTCCTGGCTGCTGCCAAAAATCATCAGAAGAAAAGCCCCAGTGCGTTAACTGTAAAGACTATCACCCAGCAAACTATTCAAAGTGTACCTCCTTACTGAATTACAAGGCTAAAAAACAACAGATTCATGCAGCCATTGAACCTAAACCTATGACAAGAAGCTATTCTGAAACACTGAAGCCGAGAGATGCCAGACACACTGTCCAGATGGAACTACCAAAATTCCAAGCTATTCCTGAACAAAGAAGTACACCATCAATTTCATCTAATCAAGATCCTGATTTTAACTCCACCGAGGGCATTTTTGCTGCAATAAGTCAAATCAAGTTGCTTTTTTCAGATCCTGAGGTAATAAAAATTTTCAGGGAACTTTATGCACTTACAAAGACTATAAATACTAACATGACATGCAATGAAAAATATACTACAATTTTAAACTTTCTTACTAAATGCCCATAATTGACAAGTATGGAATAAAAATAATGTTTTTTAATTCAAATGGAATAAAAAATAACATTGATGAACTCAAACGATCGTTACAATGGACCTAGACATCGTGTTAATAAATGAGACTCACTTAAAACCCACTGACAAATTATACATGAACGACTACAAAATATACCGGAATGACAGAAACATGACGGGATGGGGTGGTACAGCAATAATTATAAAAGCTAGTATCAGACATGAAGAACTACCGTTACTATCTGTAAAACACTCTGAAATTACTGCTATAAATGTGTTCAATAGAGGACGTAAAATAACTATTGTCTCCATATATGTTCCTTCTGCAAAACTATTGCATGCAGACTTACATAAAATATTTAACTTAAATCCAAGAGTTATTGTAGCTGGTGATTTTAATGCGCAACACATAATGTGAAATTGTAAATATAATAACACAAACGGACTCAAACTATTTAAGTACTTAAACAAAAATCATAATACCATTCAACTACATTATCCTCAGACTCCAACTAGATTTCCTGCGATACCAAATCAAGACCATAGTACAATAGATTTAGCCCTTACAAAAAATCTATCTATTCTTTCTGAACCTATAACCAAATCTTTATTTAACTCAGATCATAATCCAGTCTTTATAAGTATCTCAAACCCACTTGACGGCAATCCTCAATCCTACAAAAATGTTTTAGATTATAATAAAGCCAATTGGCTGCTCTATAAGAAAAATAATAAATGATAATATATGTCACACTAGACAAATCGACAACAATGATAGTATAGATCAAGCTGTAAAACACCTAACAACTACTATTACTGATGCCATAAGTAAAACCATTCCATTGCGAAAGTCCACTTCAACACAAACAATTAGTTTACCTTTGGAAATTATATCCAAAATTAAATTAAAAAATCAAATTAAAAAGTTGTGGCAAAAATCAGGTGCCACGTTCCTCAACGAACATTTAAACAGGCTTACTAGAATAATTACTGAGGACATTAGGGTTTATCGTAATAAAATATGGGCTGATAAACTAACAAATATTAACTATTATCCAATAAAATTTGGTACACTGCAAAAAGACTGACCCAAACTTTGCTCCCATACCATATTTACATACAAATTCCAATAACTTTGCAACAACGCCCGAACAAAAGGCCGAAATTTTAGCATCTAACTTCGAATTAGCACATCAGTACAATCTTTCTATTACTCAAAATGTTTTTGAACAGACTGTTAGTTCCAGTGTAAGACAATATATAAACAATACTTATAACAAAAATCACAAATTAGAGATAGTAACTGTTGCGGAAGTTATAAATATTATTAAGAAACTGTCTAATAAGAAAGCTCCAGGACCAGATGGTATACAGAACTTAGCAATTAAACAGTTACCTATTAAAGCCATTATTCTACTTACACGAATAACAAATAAAATTTTTAAAAATGGATACTTTCCTGTGTCATGGAAATGTTCTAATGTGGTACCAATATTAAAGCCAGGAAAACAACCAAATCTACCACAACGCTACAGACCTATAAGTCTATTAAATACAATAAGCAAAGTAGTTGAAAAATTGCTGCTTGTTCGATTTAATAAATTTTTAAGTGTTAATAATATCATACCAGAAACGCAATATGGTTTCAAACATGGGCATTCAGTTCTGCATCCACTAGCACAGCTAGTTGAAAATACTGTACTAAATTTTAACAAAAGACACACACTGGTCTTGTACTAATAGATTTTGAAAAAGCTTTCGATACAATTTGGACAGATGGACTGTTGTATAAATTAATAAATTTACAATTTCCACATTACATAACAAAAGTCATTATTTCATATCTTAAAGATCGTACATTTCAGGTTCAAGTAAATAATAATCTTTCAAATCCTAAACGTATAGTAGCTGGAGTGCCTCAGGGATCCTTGCTAGGACCAACATTGTTTAACACATATATATATATGATATCCCTACTGACAGCAAAACAAACAACATTTCGATATTCATCAAAATCAGTAGCGGTGATAGCTAACAAGCTACAAAATCACATAGATAATATAGCAAAATATGCAGAAAAATGGCACATAAAAGTAAATCCCATAAAAAGGAAGAAGCAATAATTTTTTGGAAAGGAAATAAGTTGAAAGAAAAGCCTATAGAATAAAAATTTCAGGACAAAAAATTAAATGGACAGATGAAGTTAAGTACCTAGGAGTAACGCTTGATAGGAAACTTAACTTTAATACATATATAAAAAAGAAATTGGCGCAAACATATGGGCTTCTAAATCTTTTAAGACCATTATTGAACACAAAGAGTGTATTAAATATGCGTAATAAAGAAGAATATATCTAACGCTGATCAGGCCATGTCTGATGTATGCTGCCCCAATATGGAA